CCCCAGGCTCCCTGCTCTGCTGCGGTTAAATACTCAGACCCAGGAGCCAGAAGCCTGAGCTCAAATCTTTGTTCCATTATTTAGTAGCTAAGAACCTTGAGCAAGATATCTCACAGATCTACACCTTAGTTTCTGCATCTATAAAATGGGATGGATAAGAGAAGGATTAAATGAATTTAAAACATGTGAAATGCTTAGAATAGTGCTCAACACATGATAACTTATAAATGTACCATTATTTTGGCCACTGCTAATATCCTTTAGAATCATACTATTCCTAGCAGATGAACTGAGCATTCAAAGACATCTTCCATGGGTACCGTTGTTATCTTTATTTCTTGGTAAACAGCTGACAATGAATTACCCTGTACAAATCATTTTTCTTTTTCTTTTTTTTTGTTTTGAGTCGGAGTCTCACTTCGTCGCCCAGGCTGGAGTGCAGTGGCACACTCATGGCCACCGCAGCCTCAACCTTCCAAGCAGCTGGGACTACAGGCACGTGCCACCATGCCTGGTTAATTTTCTTTCTTTTTTTTTTGTAGAGATGAGTTCTCACCAAGTTGTCCAGGCTGGTCTTGAACCCGTGGGCTCAGGCAATCCTCTCACCTTGGTCTCTCAATGTGCTGGGATTATAGGAGTGAGCCATTGTGCCTGGCCACAAATCATTTTTCTAAATCACTAGACTGATCATTTCACTGCCCTGAACACCGTTCCATACAATATTTACAAATCATATACTTGATAAGAAACTAGTGTCCACAATATATAAAGAACTCTTACCACTTAACAATTGTATCCTTTTTATTTTTATTTTTTTTTTGAGTTGGAGTCTCACTCTGATGCCCAGGCTGGAGTGCAGTGGCATGTTCACGGCCACTGCAGCCTTGACCTGCTGGTCTCAGGCAATCCTTCTACCTCAATCTTCCAAGTAGTTGGAGCCAAGGCAGGAGCCACCATGCCCAGCTAATTTTTTAAATTTCGATTTATTGTAGGAACAAGGTCTCTCCAAGTTGCCCAGGCTGATCTCAAAACCTCTGGGTCCAAGGCAATCCTCTCGCCTTGGCCTCCCAAAGTGCTAAGATGACAGGCTTGAGCCATTGCATAAGGCCCTGTGTTATTTTTTTTTTTTTTTGAGTTGGAGTCTCACTCTGTCACCCAGACTGGCCACTCCCAGCCACCACAGCCTCAATCTGCTGGGTTCCAGTGATCCTTCCACCTCAGCTTTCTAAGTAGCTGGAACCACAGGTGCGTGCTATCACGCCCAGCTACTTTATTGATTTATTGTAGAGATGAGGTCTCGCCAAGTTGCCCAGGTGGGTCTTGAACCCATGGGCTCAGACAATCCGCTCACCTCAGCCTCCCAAAGCATGGGATTACAGGCTGAGCCACTGAGCCTGGCTCCTTGTGTCATTTTTAAAGATGAAAGTCCAATTTAAAAAATCGGCAGCTGGGCATGATGGTTCACGCCTGTCATCCCAGCACTTTGGGAGGTGGAGGTGAGAGAATTTCCTGAGCCCAGGGGTTCTAGACTAGCCTGGGCAACTTGGCGAGACGTCGTCTCTACGATAAATCAAAAAGTTAGCTGGGCATGGTAGTGTATGCCTGTAGTCCCAGCTACTTTGAAGGTTGAGGTGGAAGGATCGCCTGAGCCCAGCAGGTTGAGGCTGTGGTGACCATGAGCGTGCCACTGCACTCCAGCCTGGGTGACAGAGTGAGACTTTGACTTAAAAAAAAAAAGGTCAAAAAATTTGAATAGATATTTTTCGAGAATAGATCTATAAACCGAAAAGATGCTGCGCACCATGTGTCACTAGAGAAATGCAAATCATAACTGCAATGAGATACCACCTCACACCCTCTAGAGTGGTTGTAATTTTAAAAAATGGACAGTCACAAATATTGACAAAAGTATAGAGAAATTGGAATGCTCCTACATTGCTGGTGGGAACATAGATGCAGCAGCCACTTAGGAAGAAATTTCGACAGTTTCTCAAAATATTAGTGAATTTCCATTTGACCCAGAAATTCCACTTGTCGGTATAAAGCCAAGAGAATTGAAAACATGCATCTAGCCGGGCTCGGTGGCTCAGCCTGTAATCCTGCGCCTTGGGAGGCTGAGGTGAATGGATTGCCTGAGCCCGCGGGTTCGAGACCCGCCTGGGCAACTTGATGAGACCTCATCTCTACCATAAATCAAAAATTAGCCGAGTGTGGTAGCGCGCGCCTGTAGTTCCAGCTACTTGGAAGGCTGAGGCGGAAGGATCACCGGAGCCCAGCAGGTCAAGGCTGCGGTGGCTGGGAGCGGCCAATGCACTCCAGTCTGGACGACAGAGTGAGACTCGACTCAAAAATAAAAACAAAAACAAAACAAAAAAATGCATCTATACAGAAATTTGTACCCAACCGTCTATGGCAGCATTATTCCTAACAGCCAAAAAGTGGAAGCAATCCAAATGTTCATTGACAAATGAATCCATAAAACATGGTCTCTCCCTACAGTGAGATATTATTCAGCCATCAAAAGGAATGAAGTGACCACTGGAGCAGAACGAAGGGCCCAGAAGTAAGCCCTGATGGATATGGTCAAATGATCTTTGACAAAAATGTCAAAACTACACAACAGGGAAAGGGCAGGCTCTTCAACAAAATGGTGCTGGGAAAACTGGACATCCACATCGAAAGAATAAAGATGAACCCTTATCTTCGTACACTGTATACAAACATTAATTCAAACATAAGACTTACAATTATGAAACTCCTAGAAGGAAGCACAGGGGAAAAGTTTCATGACATTTCAATGAGCAGTGCTTTCTTAGATTCAACATCAAAAGAAAAATAGACAAATGGGATCACACTCAACCTAGAAATGTCTGCTCAGCCAAGGAAACAATCACTGGGGTGAGAAGACAATCTAGGGAATGGGAGAAAATATTTGCAAATCGTATATCACAGAAGAAGTTAATATCCAGAATATATAAAGAACGCTTATAACTCAATAACAACAACAACAACAAAACTGATTTAAAAATGAGCATGCTGGGCACAGTGGCTCACGCCTATAATCCCAGTACTTTGGGAGGCTGAGGTGAGAGAGCTGTCTGCGCCCACCGGTTTAAGACCAGCCTGGGCAACTTGGTGAGACCTCATCTCTACAATAAATAAAAAAAAAAATTAGCTGGGCATGGTGGTGCATGCCTGTTGTTCCAGCTACTTGGAAGGCTGAGGTGAAAGGGTCATCTGAGCCCAGCAGATCAAGGCTGTGGTGGCTGGGGGTGTGCCACTAACATCCAGCCTGGGTGGCAGAGTGAGACTCCTACTGAAAAACAAAAAAACAAACAAACAAACAAAAAAGAAAATGTGGTATGTATACACCACAGACTACTGTGCAACTATAAAAAAGAATGAAATCCTGTCCTTTGCAGCAACTTGGATGCAGCTGGAGATCATTATCCAAAGTGAACTGACTCAGAAACAGAAAATCAAACACTCCATGTTCTCACCCATATGTGGGAGCCAAATAACTGCAAAGATAGAAATAATAGACACTGGGGACACCAATAGGGAAGGAGGAGGGAAGGGGACAAGGTTCAGAAACTACCTATTGGGAGCAATGTTTATTGTCTGGGGAATGGGCCACCTGAGACCCAATCCCCACCAGTACTCAATATGTCCATGTAACAAACATGAACTTGAACATCCTGGATCTAAAATAAAGAAGAAGAAAAAAAAATTACAATATGATATCACCTCACACTGTTATGATGGCCACTATCGAAAAACCAGAAAACGAGTGTGGGTGAGAAACTGGAACCCTTTAATGGTGTTGGTGGGAATGCAAAATGGTGTAACCACCATGGAAAACTGTATGGAAATTCCACAAACAATTAAAAATAGAACTGCCATTAGACCCAGCAACCCCAGTCCTGGGCATACGGCCAAAAGAATGGAAAATGCAATTTCAAAGAGATATTTGCAACACATTTGTGGCAGTATTATTCACACTAGTCAAGATGTAGAGGCAACGTAAAATGTCCATTGATGGATGAACGAATAAAGAAAATGTGATCTGCACAGAGAAGGGATATTATTCACCCTTAAAAAGGATGAAGAGCCTGTCATATGCTACAATATGGAAGAACCTCAAGGATATTATGCTACGTGAAATAAGCTGATCACAAAAAGACAACATCGCACGATTCCTCTTAGATGATGAAGCTGAAGTTATTAAATTCATGGAAGCAGAATGGAATGGTGGTTGCCAGAGCTGTGGGGAGGGTAAAACAGGGGTTGTTTTTTGCTTTTTCGGGGGGGGGATCGGAATCGCACTCTGTCCCCCAGGCTGGAGAGCAGTGGCACAATCACTGTTACTGCAGCCTTGACCTCCTGGGCTCAGGTGATCCTTCCGCCTCAACCTCCTGAGTAGCTGGGACTTCAGGCATATGCTGCAATGCCTTGTTAATTCTTAAACTTTTTTTTTGTAGAGACAAAGTCTCTACATAGGCTGGTCTCCAACTCCTGGGCTCAAGCAATCCTCTCATGTTGGCCTCCCAAAGTGCTGAATTACAGGCATGAGCACCATGCCTGACTGAAATGAGAAAGTGCTATAGATCTATTGTGCAACATTGTACACACACAATAATGTATACCCTCAAATTGTTTTTTTTTTTTTTTTTGGTTATAAAGCAAGTTTACTTCCACAGAGAGGTGTCTTTTTTTGAGTTGGAGTCTCACTCTGTCGCCCAGATTGGAGTGCAGTGGCCGTTCCCAGCCACCGCAGCCTCGCCTGCTGGGCTCTGGCGATCCTCCCGCCTCAGCCTTCTGAGTAGCTGGAATTACAGGCATGCACTACCGCGCCCAGCTGATTTTTTGATTTATTGTAGAGATGAGGTCTAGCTGCCCAGGCAGGTCTCGAACCCGCGGGCTCAGGCAATCCACTCACCTCAGCCTCCCAAAGGCTCAGGATTACAGGCTGAGCCACCGAGCCCGGCATAGAGAGAGGTGTCTTATGTTTATGCATGGAGAGGAAATAAGCAGAAACCTGGATATTCAATCTCTTCTTCTCCTCATGGAACTGGGTCCCCAAGTTCTCAGCAGCACCACGCAGTGCTTCACCACCTTTACTGGGGACCAAAGATGTTGGGATCATGAAGGGCCAGACTGGTCACCAGTTGTTCAAAGTCACCCAGGCTCCAGGGTGGAGGTGACAGATTTTCAGAGCCAACAGATGACCTGTTGTCAGGGCAGGGCTGATTGAAGGTGAGCAAGAGATCTGTCTGGTACTGGGTCAGTCGCAGCAAGGCCTGGTGCGGTGTCACATCCTTTGCTATCTGCTGGTTTTCCTTAGCTACCTGCTGCTTGCCAGAGAGGACCCAGGCTTCTTGACAGCAGCCTCTCAGGGCCAGGTTCTCCAAACTGAGAGGCTGCACAGACTCCACTTGGACAACCCTATCCCCTTGCACCCCGCCAACGTCCTCAAAGTGTTACCATGCAGTCACTTCACCCCGCATGTGGGCCTGCAGCTCCAGAAGTTCCATGATCAGGCTCTGGTCCGTCACGGGATGGCAGAAAACTTCTTGATTGTCCGGGACTGGTCAGAGCTCACTTACATCAATGACCCCGGGGGGCATGATGGTGGACAAGGCACCCCCGAACAGCGTATAGTCTCTCGTGGGCTCCATGGGCCTAAGACTAGGGTATGGACGTTAGAATGGTTTGAGAGAAACCCACATGGGGGTCACGTGGCATCCAACGAAAAGCAAAAAGAAACTGATAAAGCAAAAACAAACAAGCAAAGAAATGAATGAAGTGCTGACGCAGGTTACAACATGGGTGGACTCCAAAAACATGTGCTAAGTGAAAAAAGTCAAGCATAGAGGACTGAAGACTGTATGCTGTATACGGAATGTCCAAAGTAGGCAACCCACAGACAGAAGTCAGATCAGGACCCGGGGGAGGGGACAAGGGAGAGACTGCTGATGGGGGCTGGTTTTGGGATGAGGATGATGAAAACGTTCTCAAATTAAATAGTGGTAAGGTGGTACAACGCTGAATACACTTAAAAAAACCCACTGAATTGGCTGTGCTCAGTGCCTCAGCCTGTAATCCCAGCACTTTGGGAGGCCAAGGTGAGTGGATTGCCTGAGCCTGAGGGTTCGAGACCAGGCTGGGCAACTTGGTGAGACCTCATCTCTACAATAAATAAATCAAAAATTAGCCAGGTGTGGTAGGGCGCACCTGTAGTTTCGGCTACTTGGAAGGCTGAGGCAGAAGGATCACTAGAGTCCAGTAGGTTGACGCTGGGGTGGCCATGAGCGTGCCACTGCACCCCAACCTGGATGACAGAGTGAGAATCCAACTCGAAAAAACAAAAACCAAAAAGATCCCACTGAATTAGACACTCTCAAAGGGTAATTTTTTTTGGGGGGTGGGGTCATAGTTTCACTCTATTGCCCAGGCTGTAATGCAGTGGCATGATCATGGCTCACTGCAGCCTCTAACTCCTAGGCTGTGATCATCCCAACTCAGCCTCCAGAGTAGTTGGAACTACAGGCATGTGCCACCATACTTGGTTAATTTTTAAATTTTTGTAGAGTTGGTGTCTCACTGTGTTGTCCAGGCTGGTCTTGAACTCCTGGGGTCTAGCAATCCTCCTGCCTTGGCCTCCCAAAGTGCTGGGATTACAGGTGTGAGTTACTGTGCCTGGCCTAAAAGGGTGATTTAAAAATAGTAGATGAATGATATCTCAATAAAAAATAGTTCTGGGGGAAAATCCACATTGTCTGTTTAGCTTTCCAATGTGTCATTCTTTGCCACCTCTGCAATTTGGCTCCAGTGACATTTGCAGCCTCATCCTCAGTCATTTGTGTCATTTCACTCATGTGAAAGTCACAGCGGCCTTCCCCCTGCCCTTCCTTCCTGAGCACTTCCATCATAGTGTTGCTCAGAAGCATAATTAAATTTGTATCTGTTCTTTTTTTTTTTGAGTCGGAGTCTCACTCTGTCGCCCAGACTGGAGTGCAGTGGCCGCTCCCGGCCATCGCAGCCTTGACCTGCTGGGCTCCGGCGATCCTTCCACCTCAGGCTTCCAAGTAGCTGAAACTACAGGCGCGCGCTTCCATGCCTGGCTACTTTTTGATTTATTGTAGAGATGAGGTCTCGCCAAGTTGCCCAGGTGGGTCTTGAACCCGATACAGGCTGAGCCACCGAGCCTGGCTGTATCTCTTCTTCTTAAACATTTGCCCCTCTAATTAGACATCCTGGGTGCCAGGAGTAGGAATGTTTTGTTCACTTTTAGTTACTAGAATAGTGACTGGCACATAGTAGGCATTTAAATAGTGTTGAATAAATGATGGGAGTGAATAAGTGATTCATCTAAGATGGCATCAAATCTGGGCCAGAGAGATAGAGACCCGTTACCATCCCAGGAGACATTTTGGCATAGATGCACAGAGTAAGGCATAAAGAAGACATCCTGACCATCTAGATTAGGCTTACTTGCAGACTTGGCCATATGAGATTAGATCTTTGCAAAAGAATACAGTCGATTCTCTGTATCTGTAATTTCTGCATCCATGGATTCAAAGAACTATGGACTCAAAAACAACAAAAGTTCTGGTGTAGTGGCTTATACCTGTAATCCGAGAAATTTGGGAGGCGGAGGTGAGAGGATTGCTTAATCCCAGGGGTTTGAGACCAGCCTGGGCAACTCAGGGAGACCTCATCTCTAAAATAAATCTAAAAATTAGCTGGTTTGGGAGGCAGAGGCTAGAAAATTGCCTAAGTTCAGGGGTTCGAGACCAGCCAGTGCAACTTGGCGAAACCTTCTCTCTACAATAAACAAAAAAATTAGGCTGGGCGTGGTGGCTAAAGCCTGTAATTGTGGCACTTTGGGGGCCCGAGGTGAGAGAATTGCCTGAGCCCACGGGTTTGAGAACAGCCTGGGGAATTTGGCAAGACCTCATCTTGACAATAAATCAAAAAAATTATCTGGGAGTGATAGCGTACACCTGTAAGGCTGAGGTGGAAGGATCACCTGAGCCCAGCAGGTCAAAGCTGGGGTGGCCGTGAGCATGCTATGCACTCCAGTCTAGGTGACAGAGTGAGGTTCTGACTCAAAAAAAAAAAAAAAAAAATACAGCTTAACAAGTATTCACATAGCATTTACATAGTATTAGGTATTATTAGTGACCTAGAGATGATTTAAAGTATATGGAAGGATATGTGTAGGTTATATGGAAACACTATGCCATTTTTGAATTGGTGTCTCACTCTGTTGCCCAGACTGGAGTGCAGTGGCATGCTCACAGCTCACTATAGCCTTGACCTCCTGGGCTCAGGCAATCCTTTTTTATTTGCCTTGTGAGTAACTGGAGCTACAGGCGCATGCTACCATACCCAGCTATTTTTTTTCCGTAGAGGCCAGGTCTCGCTGTGTTGTCTAGGCTAGTCTTGAACTCCTGGGCTCAAATACTCCTCCAGCCTTGGCCCCCCAAATTGCTGGGATTACAGGTATGAGCCACCATGCTCAGCTAAGTCACAATTTCTTATTGAGGAATTCTCAGTGACTAGGATATTTCAATCAAAACTGAAGAACACAGAAAACTTTCTTCCCCAGAACAGACCAGCACATCTCATTACCCCTTCCCTCTTGCTTGTAAGACGTGGCTGCTTAAAAACGGATTCTAAGATACTTTGGATCTAGCATGTTCTAGAAAGCATGTTCAAGAGGAGTTGCTACAGTTAATACAGTGGTAAGAGCAGATTCCATTTGACTGCCTGGGTTCAAATCCTAGCCCTGTCATATCCTAGCCACGCAGTGTTGAACAAGTGAAGGTGCCTCAGTTTCTCTTATCTGTAAAAATATAAAACTTTTATTTTATTTTATTTTATTTTACTTGGAGTCTCACTCCTTCGCCCAGGCTAGAGGGCAGTGGCATGCTACAGCTACCCCACTGTTGACCAGCTGGGCTCCGGTGATCCTTTCATCTCAGCCTTCCAAGTAGCTAGAACTACAGGTGCACACTACCACACCCAGCTAATTTTTTGATTTATTGTAGAGACAAGGTCTCGCCAAGTTGCCTGGGCTGGTCTCAAACCTGCGGGCTCAGGCAATCCACTCGCTTTGGCCTCCCAAAGTGCTGGGATTACAGGCTGAGCCACTGAGCCCGGCCCAAACTTTTATAACAGATCTAAAAATCATTATAAAGATTAGAAGAGTGACAGGGGAGATGTCAGTATTAGGAAAGGCCGAGGGGTGTTGCCATTGAAGAGGAAGAGTGGCCAAAATTCATAACAAGCAGGCACTGCGCGCTACAGCAGGCAATGCACAGTGCAATTTTAATTTAAAGATCGACATTTAAACCATTCTCAGCTGGGCGTGGTGACTCACGCCTGGAATCCCAGCACTTTGAGAGGTGGAGGCGAGAGGATGACCTGAGCACACAGGTTCGAGACCAGCCTGGGCAGCATGGTAAGACCTCGTATCTACAATTAAAAAATCATGCATGGTGGCATGAGCCTGTGGTTCTTGGGAAACTGAGGCAGGAGGATTGCCTGAGCCCAGAGGGTTGAGGCTGTGGTGGCAATGAGTGTGCCACTGCACTTCAGTCTGGGTGACAGAATGCGACTCTGACTCAAAAACAAAAACAAAAAACCATATGCAAGACTTGGGAGAGGTATTTCCTGAATATCTGAGCTAAAGGAGATCTTTTTCAACCTTCCTTTTCTATTGCAGACTGCCTGGATCTTGACTTGCAATTTCTTTATCTCAATTTACATTTTGGTCCACCCTCACCACTAGAACGAAAGCCCATAATGACAGGGATGTTAGGGCCAGGCACCACGGCTCATGACTGGAATCCCAACACTTTGGGAGCAAGGGCAGGAGGGTCGCTTGAGGACAGGAATTTGAGATCAGCATGGACAACATAGCGAGATCCCATCACTACCAAAAAAAAGAAATTTTATTCTTGTTCATCTATGTATTCCCAGCCCAGAGCCAGACACATAGTAGGTACCAATAAACGTATGCTACATAAATTAATGATAGAGGATTTAGTGCCTGTCACCAGAGTCCCTGTACTAAAGTGGCTACTTACATTTAACTTTAAAGCAATTAAAGTTAAGTACAATAAAAAAGGCAGGTTCTGCAGCATGGTAGTATATTTCCAGTGATGAATACGCACGTGGCCCGTGGCTAGTAGGCGACTCCCTTGAAGAACAATTCTTCATCACAGAAAGTTCATTGATGGAGCTGATTGACATCAGTGGTTCTCAACTGGGGAAGAGTTTGCCTCCCAAGGGCGTTTGGTAATGTCTGGAGACACGTTCGGTTGTCACAGCTTGAAATATGCAGCTGGCATCGCGTATGTAGAGGTCAGGGTCGCTGCTAAATGTCCTTAAATGCCCAGGATGGTCCCAAAACAAAGAATGACATGGCCCAGAATGTCATGAGTTGGAGTCTCACTCTGTCGCCCCGAGCCAGAGTGCGGTGGCACAATTACAGGTCACTGCAGTCTCAACCTGCTGGGCTCAGGTGATCATTCCACCTCAGCCTCCTGCGTAATTGGGACCAGAGGCATGCACCTGGCTATTTTATTTTATTTTATTTTTTTTGTAGAGACAAGATCTTGCTGTGTTGCCCAGGCTGGTCTCTAATTCCTAGGTCAACCAATCCTCT